GACCAGGCACAAGACCAGCCACAAGACCAGACACAAGACCAGACACAAGACCAGACACAAGACCAGACACAAGACCAGGCACAAGCCCAGGCACAAGACCAGGCACAAGACCAGACACAAGACCAGACACAAGACCAGACACAAGTAGTGAGGTAAACAGTGACAAAAGAATGCTTTTGTTGCAGTTCATCCGAACAGCTTGTAGTTTGGATGTTCTGGAGGTCTTGTGTTAGTCTTGTGATGGTCCTGTCAGGTCTTGTGATGGTCTGGACTACAGCGATCTCACAGTCATGTCCGCATCTGGGAGTCAATACCTGCCACTGCATATACACTTCATGGTAGTCACCAGTGTCGTAGAAAAGTCAATGACAGCCAACTCCATTGTAAGTAATCCAGTCTCAGGCAAACCATATGCTATTCAAAAAGGTTGTGTCCATCCCCCATCGTTTGACCTAACTACAACGCCTACATCTCCACACCAGCATTGTGCTAGATTGATAAGGCCACTCAGAACGCTCGGATTCGTGTGCACATACACCGTTGTGCATTTTTCCATCCTTGGGATACAACTCATTCTCGGGCCAAGAAACACACAACTGGTGGCAGAGAAATGCAAGAATTCATATTTCAATTCTCCGAGGCACCTTTTTCACCTCTTCAAACTTTCCAACTCGGGTTTGAAAAGCCACACTTACTGTGTGATATTCCAGAGGATTATTTGCATTGCGCGTGATAACTGTTCAGGGAAAAAATGGAGTAGGGAAAAACTGAAGGGATTTCAGATTGAAAGATAAGTGATGTTAATTAGGTGGTTACAAAGGAAAAATTCAGCCTCACCTCGTCAAAGGAATCAATCGCTTCTTCTGACTTGCCCAGCAACGTCATGTATCTCGCCTTCAACCAGTAAACTGGATAATGAAATAATCAACAGATGAAAGTTTCAATGGAGTTGTGGGACAGTCTGAAGTTGGCACTGTGAATTGGAATCTGTCTAGAGTTGTCTGCATATAAACTGAAAAGTGCACAAAACATTTTTCGAGAGCTTCCAAGAACACGTGAGTGAAAAACTTTCAAAAATCAACTCACTGGAGATCAACCATCCAATCTCTTGGCAGTGTGGCAAAAAATGTTTGACCTTTCAACTGCTGAGCTCACGTTTGCTTCATTGGTTTAAAGTCCGCCGTAAGACAGTAGGTGCTGCGAACCCAAAGGCCTGGAATGGAATTTTGCAACTCGGGTCCCATTTTATAGAGCCGCTAAGCAAAAAAAAAATGCTTACAGCTGAGAAGACAGAAGAAAACACTGGGTGCTCTCATTGACCAATGTAACCAGGACCTAACTTCACAGCGCTACTTAGCACACAATTTCACGCTTAACACAGACTCCATATATTTCATGGAGACCATAAGCAGTACGCAGAGCCAAAGGTATGCTAACCTTGAAGGAAAAATTTACCTGAACTAAGTGATAGAACAATAGAAACCTCTCTGTCCGCGCAACCTTCAGCACAACCACGCCAAGCACAGCCATGAAATGGTGCTTAAGTTTAGCAAATTTTCTGCTAACGTTAGCATGACATTTCTGCTAACTCTTAAGCGGCTCTGTGAAATGCACATGTCCATCCCCACTGTAATCTTAGTTAATATGTCCCACCTCGGACGTTAAAGTCCCTCCATTTGTCCTCCTGTATTGCCCCCGAGTTGGTCAGCATCTGCATGTAGCCCAGGTCTTCATCGATGAACTTCCCCATCGCTTCAGTGTCAGCCCTCGGATGTTTGAGAATACATCGTAAGGATCAGCCCAAAGAGCTGGAATTTTTCTAACCTTCAAGCCAGGGGAAAGTCCCATCCCCCTTTAAATTTGGCACTAAAAGACACAATTTTCTTGATACAGGCTATTCGTGCCATAGTGCGCCACCAAGAGGTTTAAAATGGAGAGGCCATTTTTCAGAATGCATTGTGGGAAATGGTTGACAAATTCTGTGCCCCGCTACGCATAGGGAACTTAAATTACTCATTTTTTTTGTCCTGGTAAAAGATTAAGTGTTTTTCAAGAATCAAGTTTAATCAATCCTTTCTTCTTTCCATTGCAAGATTTCCTCAAGTTATCTATTCACATATGCAAAAATGCAAATCACGGCAAGTCAGCCATGTTTATGTCAACCATGGACTTACTATTGCACTTACGACCTCAAAGTCAGGAAGTAAAAAAAACAGTTAAAGCCTGAGGCGGAGCCCAAGTCGAGTATTGGAAAACAGCCATAAACTTCCACTTTTCCTGGAGTCCTTTCAGTGGTATGTATAGTACATTTAAAATATTATTTTTAGATTAGAATTCAGATGATGGTTTTGATGGTTTTAATAGTGGTAGCCTTGGAGGATTTTTCATAATGAATAGGGTTTGTCTCCAAACAGGTCACTTGGGAGACATTTTGTGGTAAATTTTTCAACCTTAGGGAGACATCCGTCATTAGGGAGACATTTCAATGTCTCCCTAATGCTCCAACTACCAGAAGGAGGCCGAATTTTATTGTCCAAATTTTGAGAGATGATAAATTAGGGCCTCAATTGAAAACATACAAAATTTGGTTCAGATCAGATTAGGGAATATTTAATTATGGGACAGTAAAGTCTGTGCACGTTCCTATGGGAATGTCTCCCAAGTGACCCATTTTCGGTCATATTTATTTCTGTATTATTCTGATTACTACAATGACTTACTTCTTGGACACGCTGGTCGGTGTTCCCTTGCCGGCCGAGATCAGCTCGTCAATCTTGAGCTCAGCGAACGTCAGCATCACGTAGCCGGTGGCGGTCTTGAGTTCACTGCTGTATTCGGAACTTTGTTTTGAAGGGATAAATGTCATCGATCACATAATTTTACTGAGTTCCGCGTGTGTGCTTTAAACATTTTGTTTTGAATTGATACCAATCTTAGTCATTGTCAGGTGCATGCAAAACTGTGATTTCTTCTTGTTAAATAGACAAGCGCGGGAGTGACGTCTCCTGGTAGCACAGTTTTCTTCCTAACTGTGCTTGGGGACAGATGCAATGTTTTCAATTCTCTCTTTCCGGCACAGCAAAAATATCGATGACAAAAGCTGTCGGCTAAAAGTCATGCATCCTTTGCTGACAGGCAGAGTGGAGATATGTAATGGTATTTTAATAGGCAATAAAACCGGGGAAAAAAAAAACCATCCGCAGTTTACGGTCGAGATGACCCGTGTCCACGTATCTGTAAGCCCTAACCGGGATTCAGACGTTGAAGAAAGCTTGTGGGATGTAACAGGATGAACCGAAAGAATCAATGTACGATTTCTCACCTGAAGATACTGGGCAAGATGACATGGCGTCTTGTGCAGGAATACGCTTGGAGGAAAACGGTGGTTAGACCTGTCGGCCTGAAGCAAGAGCAATCAGCAAATTAATCACAGGCAAAATTTCAAACCATCTGCCAACTCACCAGTGACGTAAAAGCGGATTCTTTTGGTCAGGTACTTAGTCTGTGAGGTCAAACTTCCAAGCCACTGTCCCATAACATTTACAGAGGTCACTACCTCACAAAGATACTCACTAAGATACTCACTATTAGAATACCATTTACGAGAACAGTAACTAGCTCTCAAAGACACTCATAAGCTCAATATGTGAGCACGATCTGGTCACATTCTATGAGTTCAGCGCAGATAGCGCCTGCAGCAAATGATAAACAAGTACTAAGTCCGTGAGTACATTTGCATGAGTTTGAGTATTACTATCATGTAAAGACTTTCTAATACCATGTTCCCTTCAGAGTTCCGAGTATTATTTTGTTGTCACCTACTCTTTCTTACCATGCTCCCTGCTGAGTAGTCACAATTTCCCGCAAATAATCGTCAAGTAATTGGATGATCCCGCTGTTTCTCTGTCTCTTTTTTAGGAACTCCCAGACCTTCTCTGACTGATCAGCGTCTGTCTCCACGTGCCCCATTGGTTTGTCTCGATCTGACAACCAAAAGCAGAGATTTAAACCTTTCACACTTTACACCTGTTGACTACAGCAATGTGCACTCGTAACTCAGAATACATGTACACTGGGAAGACTGGAATTGCTTTTAAACATGGGACCAAACTCTGTCATTAAAATGAACAAATGTGACCTTGCCCTTGAACGGTAGTAAGGCATACCTGCAATTTCCATCCTCCTGGAGGATGGAGTCTGCCGCTGGCTTGCCTCATCTTGATCAGACGATCTGCACCTTGCATCCTCCCTTTCCTCTCCACTTCAAATGCAAACAGGTGAGAATACATCCAGCAAAATGAGTCTCAGGCATTTATTCACTTAAATGTTTTTTTAAGGGCAGGAGATGAACAGACTCACTCCCGGTATGTTTCTTAATCTTAGCTTGTCTGCCTTTTTCGACGTCATGGTCGTATTTCCATCTTCCAGTGACTGGTAAAACTACGACTGGCCCTCAGTGCAAGAGCAAAAGAACGAGTGAAAAAAAGAGCCAAGGAAGTATCGAAATACCAAATAAAAACACTTCGACTAAAAGCTAATATTGACAAGAAAATATTGACCATGCTTTGGACTACAGCAGACGTTGTACATACTGAGATAAACATCCGACACCAACCGATGCTGATATGTTTGCAAACTGGGGCCAACCATAGGAAATAGTTGCAAATATGACAGCTGTCAATGGGATGAGATCCGGTAAAATATTTACCGTACCTGTCTTGAAGGCTGGAGGGTAGGAATTGCCGCAGGATCTCCTGATAGTTGATGCACTCTTCTTTCTTTTTTCCCACGGTGTTACGAACCTGTGACGCCGATATTAACCAAACTCTCACAAAGCGAACAATCAAATGTGAAATCATCTCTGCTGGTCTCTCTTTCACGTTAGAAAACTGTTACTTCAAGGGAGTGTGAATAACCTTTATGTTGTCTGCAACTCAAGGCTCTGACTTTCTAACTTTGACTTTGGGGGAACTTTGATATTGGGGACTCTGACGTAATGGGTCCTTTTTTACCAGGATTACCAAATTGTATGATACAAAGTCAATAACGAGGGGCTTGTTTGAATCATCCAAAACATTAAAGTCTAACAATACCAGGGTTAGTTCTTGGGCCACGAAAAAATAATGAAGCTAGAGCAAAGCGTTTTTTAATCGTTCACAAGAGCAAGCAACAGATAGTCCTGGCCTCTTTAATTAGATCTAACAAATGGCATGATTTAATGGGCCATGTTGCAAAATGAAGGGCTACGGAGATGGATCCTGGACCGGGCAGAATTTACCCGAGTGGAACGTCGGTTTCCAGGCACTGGGTGATTGGCCTTCTCTCGTTTCCTCTTGGGCCCTCTTCGCATTTTGGTTTTTACTGGGATGGGTTCTGTTTCCATGGCAACTGGATCTGAAATAAACACAGAGCAATGATGTTGTCTTTCTGGCAAATGACGAGTGAAATCTTAACTACAAAATTAATTTTTTTTCATCAAACAAAAGCCGAAGGTATGCAGTATCAATAATCCATCCTGTTCATTTGGTGTGCTCACCGTCGATGTCACTGCTTCCAACTGGGGTCTGCTGTGGGGTCTGGTCTTGGGTGCATGGTAAGGTCTGCTCGTGGACCTGTTGTGGGGTCTGCTGAGGCATATCCAGCAGGCTGATCAGTGGAGTCTCCTGTGGTACCTGTTGAGGGGTTTCCAATGGTGCTTGGTGTAGACTGTGTTGTTGCGTCTCTTGTGATGGGATCTGTTGAGTCCCTTGCAGGGTCTGTTGTGGGGCTTGCTGCTGGGTTTGTTGTGGGGTCTGTTCCATAGTTCCCTGTCCGCTTGTCCGTACAGTCTCCTGTTGGCTTTCGTGTAGGCTGAAATTTTCGTCACAGTTGTCTTCCGAACCATGCTGCAAGTCGTCAGCTGAGAGTGTCGTCTTGCTTTCTGGTACACATGATCTGCTCTGGTTGTTATCTGGGGGTGTGTCCTCAGTTATATTTATTGGTGTGTCCTGGGTGGTTTTAGCCGGTGTGATCTGGTTTTCCCTTCCTGCTGAAACCTTGAACTCCTTCTCTTCGGGATGCTGGACATACTCACTCATATCAATTTTACAGCACAAACTCTGAGCAGAAAACATAATTGTAGAGAATGTTTCCAATACAATAAAATTATAAATTACATAATTAATTATAATGATTGATTACATAATTATAATTATTGCGTTTCAAACACAATAAATTACATTTGATCAGAGAAATGTGACTTTAGACAATGTGGACCCTGAACCTCACTCAAACACTTCAAGATATTGGATTATTAAAGATTTTATTACAAGCTCTTTTTTAACATTTAAAGCGTACCATGCAGTTCCTGACAAGTGAGGGCGTTGTTACCGTGATGTTACTTTGGTATCTAGCACACTCCACAGTTCAGGGTTACCAAATAGATATTATGGAACCTCAAATGTGGATCAGGAAAACAGTCTGACTGTCTTGCACAACATCATTCACGAAGGCACAAAATGTGAAATTCAATTTAACAGTGGAAGATCTTGGAGGATTCTTCATCTGAGAAGTTTGGGTTTTGCACAACCATAGTGTTGTGAAGTAATCAACGACTCAGTATCCTATTATAAGGCAACTCACCAGTGGAGGAGAATTTTCGACAAGATGATTGTAGAGGGCGACCAATCTTTCACCAAGACCCTTCCACCTACAGCACATGTGCATGAATATAACACAGACTACCTTACAACAGAGTAACTTTTAGAACAAAGTCTTCATTTGGTACAACTTGGAAGTTATGAGCCGTACAAGACTTTGTGTGAAACTCCATAAAGAGATTTTCAAGTTGTAAAGGCATGAATGGATAGTAACAATTAACAACAATGGACCAATGTCACAGTCGTCGGGGTGCCTCTGAATCACTTGGCTGCAGCTTGAAACTACAAACTCTAGGGGAATTGGCTGCAGCCACTGCCACGGAGTTGGGTGTTATTTCTGCATGCAGCAAAGTGATTCGTACACAGCTTTGTTGGGCACAAAGATGCACTGAGCACAGAAAATAATTGCTTGGCAAATTCTGGTTGCCAGTCAAATTGTCACGCCATGTGAGCTGGCTGTGTCCGGCCCTGGGCGGATATTTGCTCATTCTGCTGCGCATATATTACTTCCCTTTACTTTGATTACATTACTTTGAATGGCAGAAAGAACAAGATAGCTGCCCCATGATGGAGGTCTGTTGGAACAAAAACTGGCCATGCAGTAGAGATTAACTCCACGTCAGGCAAAGGACCCTGACTTTGTACCAGGTAATTTCATATGACAGTGGCTAGCAGAATAGTTTTTCATGGCCAGAGTTCACTGGTCCCAAATGAGTTCTCAAAACTTCTGAGACTGGTTCCTGTCACTCACGTGAATGAACTGAATGACGTAAATGGTGTCAAGAACTTGACCAGCGGCATGGGCTCTCTCTTGGCCAGAGCGCGTCTCTCCTCTCGCAATGTCAGGGCCTCCTTGATTATCTGTTGAAATTGGGATTGAGTGCATCGACAGGGGCATTAGAGGGCACAAGGCTGGCTCGGTGGTTCATACATGTATACCCTTGACTTCCACCTCTGTGGCCCAGGTTCGAATCCCGCCTAGGTCAGCATGTAGATTGGGTTTAAAGGGCACAAGGCTGGCTCAGTGGTTCATACATGCACACCCCTTGACTTCCACCTCTGCGGCCCAGGTTTGAATCCCACCTAGGTCAGCATGTAGATTGGGTTTAAAGGGCACAAGGCTGGCTCAGTGGTTCATTCATGTACACCCCTTGACTTCCACCTCTGTGGCCCAGGTTTGAATCCCGCCTAGGCCAGCATGTAGATTGGGTTTAAAGACCCTACCTGATTCAGTAGGTTTCCTAGAAATATTTGTCCAGGGTTTTCCTCCCATTTCTAAGGCTCTTCAGGCTTGCGAGCTACAGTGTCACGTAGGTGCACTTTGGAGGAGTCACTGCTTTTAATAGATGAAATGATACGGCCATTTCACAATAGTGCGCCACCAAGAGTTAGCAACGCATTAGCCAATCTCAGTGCGCGAAATTTGTCAACCCAGTGCGCATTTGGAAAGGGTTGACAAATTTCAAACTCTTGGTGGTGCGCTATTGTGAATCGCCCGTATTGTGGCGCTATATCTACATATGGGTGACTTTCCATTAATTGAAAGGCCATTCAGAAGACATCAATATTGTGTTCTCAATGTGAATTCTTGACTATGGCTATTGTAAATTTAAAATTTATTTCACAGTTGTCATCAATCACTCACACGAATGAAGTAACACTGTCAGTAAAGGCCAATTCGTGCTTCGCGCAAGAGCCAAAACAAATGCTAATCTGTGAGGCCAGACCAAACATTCCCGTTACAGATTCACAAAAAATGAACACATTCCAACTTGAGCGATAGTTCGCTGCAAACTTTTTGTGACGTCAAATTCGCTTTTGCATTTGACTAAAGTACGAACGGGCCTTAAGGTGAAGACGTGAAATCAATTATGTGAGTGCAAGGTAAAAAAAGATATAAACTTTATAGCAGTAGGCTAATGGTTACCATGGAGAAGCACCCTAACTCCCTGGAGTGATATCCTAGCAACCTTCCATATCCTTGCAAATCCCAACTCCACATGGTAAACCGTGCACATAAACAGTTGGACTCTGTTCATTTGTATTCTGTCTAATTCCACATAAACGCAGTCAGTTTACTGGTATAGTACTTACACAGCGTATCCGAACAAATTCCGACAAACCTTGGTGTTAGACTTTGGCTGGTTGGGATTGTTTAGTGGGGTTTAGAAGGAGATAATGATAGAACTTGGCTTACTTTTTCTGCCTCCGCTCTGTCTATCTGGGATGGCCGAATGACATCCTGGCTGCGGACAGAACGTAAGAAACGCAAAGTATAAGTGAAGTCGGTTCCCTGCCAACGTGACTGATCAAGGCTAGCAGTTTGTCCCTGCTTTCCCAAGCATGGAGCAACTGAGAATCTTTCCATTTCGTACTGATTAGGATGCACCAATTGGTGTACCAATTTAAAGACCTCTCTCATTTTGCCTACAACTTGTGTGGCCGGTCAAAGTTGCCAGAAATATCACCTTTCCTCCTCATCTTGGTTTTACCTCAAATTCATTCAAAATGGACATTTTGTCCCATTAATGAGAAGAAGGATACTAGGGTTGTTTTTCGTTTGGTATTTAGCAGTACGTGTATTATCGTCTGGCGTTATCATACCGGCACCTGCAAAGGATTTTTAACTCTGGTGATTTATAGTTATACTCTTGTACCAACGGCCAACCAGAGTTTTGGCAAACACATGTAGAAAAAACACGACTGTGACGTCAGAACAGCAGGCCCTATACTCCTGGGTCGGCAAAGGCAAGTAGCAGTCTTGCGGCTTGCCTGAGGCCACAACCTACGGCCAGCAGCTGGATTCGAACCTCAACCCCGCGATCGTGGGTCACCTACCCCAATCACCTAGACCATATTCCCTTTACCGATAAAAAAAAAAAAAAATACTTTTTTCAGTGGACATTAGCTTGCCATATCAGCTGCACATTGCTAAGCACAATAACCATCTAAGCCCACATGCAGTCCCCATTTCCTCCCCGATGGAGATGGGGCGTGAAGGGGTGAATGACTTGCCCAAAGTCTCAACCTGCCAGGATTCGAACCCTCCTCCCCCAACCCCATGATTGGAAGCTGCAAACCCTAGCCACCAGGCTACACGTCCCCTTGAGAATAAGTACATGTACCAGACTCAATCAAACATCAGCTTTGAGAAAAACGGTGCCACTGCAAGAAATGAAGAGACATATATATTAACCTCAACCCCCCCTGACTGTTCCAAATGGGCAACGAGAGTTTGGGGGTTGAAGGACTAGGGAAGGTAGAGCCTAGCACAGGGCTTGGCATTCCTGGTCAGTTGAATTAAAGAACAGAGGATGTTTCCAAAGGCTTCCGGCACAGTGGAGGATTTGGGGAAATCCACTGGCAGATTGCCAGAGCATCAAATGCAAGTCAAGGGGTTCTGTCTGGCTGCGGAATAAAGGAGAGAACTCACCAATTTTGAAACAAGTCGTAGCTGTCTTTCCTCAACGAGGGCTGCTCCTTGAACATCTTTTCCCGCAGAACAACTCCTGGAGGAAGAGGAGATGCACAGATGATATTGTCATGTGGTCACTGATGCAAACCTTTTAGCAAACCTTTGTGTATGTAGGCAAGCATTATGTATAAAGGAAATGGGAGAAACTTGTGCCCAATAACGCAAAAAGAGCCCAGTTATTTTGAACAATCTCACAGCGGGGAGGGGGGAGATTCCCTCCCCTCTCCCCTGCCCCATGAACTTGCCTGACCCATGCCCAGTTGTTTTAAAGCAGGGCATGCATGTACAGATACTCGTTATCAATTCAAATGTGAAGTTTCAACACACTCTGAAATACGGTTTTGTTACTGCAGTCATTTGAAGTTCAAGACCACATGCGTGCCAGCCTGCATGCACTGAGCACAGCAGTGGGAAAAGTATACATCTTATGGCTGACGTGACACAAAAAATGGGTGCTGTGTGGAATGGTATACTTGATTTTCACAAAATGGGTGCAAAAATGACTGCAAAGAGTTACTAAAAGTAACACTAAAAGACTCGGCTCATGAGAAAAAATGCACTGCGGCAATATCAGAAAGAATATTGAGGGGTGAGGGAATCTGCCCCTTTCCCGGCTCCTGAAGGGTTGAATACTACGAAGGAATGAAATGTCAGGCTATAGGAAGAGGCACAGCATATGACCAATGACAGTGATACATAAATGTAAACGATTGTTTGGTGTCAATTAATTCATTTACCTTTTTTGTACTTGCGGTCCCGTTCCAGGGCTTGACATATGTAGAACAAACAGCCTGAAAATATGTGTAAAAGGGATTTGCTGATTTCTTGAAATTCAAACTTCAAGGCTCTCTTACGAGGATTTGAAGTTACTTCTCACTCGCTGTTTTAGGAGCAACTTTCTGAGGTTTAACCACCTGCCAACAGTATCTTTTCCACAATGAACTTGTCCCATTTCTTGTCTTATATTCCGCCAAATATACTGACTTTTTGGAATGACGAGACACCAAGACCTCCGTCCTTTCACAAAGTTACACTTTACAGATGCAGACGCTTTTTGGTCATATGCTCAAGATTCATGCGACATTTCTCACCGCGACGTCGCTCTTTGGAACTCCGAGACAACAGCGAGGTATGTCATTTGCTACAACAACTGGATATCTCCACTGAAAAGTACATGTACAAGCCCCCGTGTGAATCGCTCAGGCATGTGGACGAGCAGACACACCACTCGGTACTGCATGCAGAGGTTACCAGAGCATGTGTAAACGCCCCCCTTGGTACGGACACAGAAAATCCCTTCACGTTTACGCAACCTCTGGCTTGAAGTGGTTAGTGACTGCACGTCTAGGCCGGTCATTTTACCTGCATAGTCATTGAGCGCATACAGCACTGTGCAGAGATTGTCCAGGCTGGGCCAGTGGTTGGGGCTGCACTTCAAGGCTTGCACGAAGCTCAGCCGGGCCAGCGGGAGCTGATAGAGCGTCACGGCCATGGTCCCGATTCGGTACCACACTGTCACGTCAGTCTCGTCGAATGCAACAGCCTTAAAGGAGGCAAAAAGTTTGACAATAACGCATAAAGCTCACTACTAACAGTGGGGTCTTCTCTTGTTATGTAAGTCAACAGGAGGTTGCGGGCTGGAGTACCGCCCAGGCAAACCTCTGGCTTGGTTCGCTCAATATTTGTTACTGCCATACCTCTAAATAATGTTCCATAGCCCTGTTGAGATCTTCCTTCTGGTAGGCCATGCTGCCCAGGTTTTTGTAGGTCAGGTACTTCAGCATCAGACCGGGGCTTCTCACCGTCTCTTCATCATCGGGAGGTTCCACCTACAAGAATAATCCACCGATATGCTGACAATATATTCCCGTTTTTGCACTTTTGTGACTTTTAAAATAAAGACACCACAGTCACAGCCCTTCACAAGGTCGGACGTTTTGCAAATACTGCCCCTTGGTGGTCATAAGCTCAAGATTTGTGCAAAAGTTTTCCTACCGCACCGTCGCTCTTTCAAACTCTGAGACTATGCATGGGAACTACGTTCGCTACAATGTCTGGCCATGGCCCATGGCCTCTTGAGGGCGCCACCACGTCAAACATCTGTGTGTACACAACCTCAATGGAAATCTCTCAGGAATGGGCATGTCATGTCAAAGGGCACTACATACAGAATATGTTGGAACACGTTTAAAGGTCATCCGTGCTACAACATGAAGAATCCCTGCGTGTTTAGATGTCAACTGGTGAAACGTGATTAAGAAGTCCAAGATATTTAATCCAATCCCTGGCTACGATGATATTTCTTGGGCTGAGTCTATTCAAATAATTTATTATTTGAATATTCGACCTTCAGGTCGATCGAATATCTGAATATTCGGTCATACCAACTGCAGATTGTTGATGAACAAACCATATACAAAATCATTCGCAGTAACACTGTACATTATAACCACTATAATAGCTTCTCATGTCGAGGAGTATCTCCAGCCACGATTTAGCAAGATTTAACAGACGAACAATGCTTCTTGCCTTGCTGACAATTTATTGCTTTTCACCCCTTTGCTATGGAGGACTGCTACTACCGCACCATTGTGTGAGGATTAGTACATACCACACATACAGTCTATTCACCATGCAGCTGCTGGTTCAATGGGGCCTGCTGCTGGACAAAGCCCTCCATTCAGGGCATACCACAGCCCAGCAGTCGCGGTCAAAATAATGCCGCCGCAAAGGGGTAAAATGTTTTAATGAATAATCTACTTTTTAAATCGTTGCAAGATATAATATTCTGTCACTTCTCATTTGAATCTGCTTGAAACAAGCCGCCATAGTGTGATTTTTCTCATTTAAAAATGAACACTCTGAATATGATATTTGAATATTCAACAATTGATCAAATATTCAAATATTTGACAATTGATCAAATATTCGGATATTTGGCACAGCCCAATTACATTGACATGTACATGTACGTATCTTCAGCAAGATAGGCTAGGAGAACACAAATGCCTTCCTGCCTCACCTCGGCCAGGAGGGGTATGCTCAGTAACTGTTGATAAGTCGACTCTGCCTCCGCATTGTCTCCTGCGCGCTGGAGATCCAGGGCTTTGTTGTACAAGCTGTAGGCCTCTGCTTCCTGTTAAAAAAAAATGGCGCTGAAGAGCTGTCATCATGCTCTTGCCAGCATGTAATTTTTTTGAAATGAAATAAGTTTCCAACGAGGCATGATTTTACCACTCAAGTACTGACATTTTGCTCGAGTCAAAACGTGTTCAGATTTTTGCAAACATGCAGCATGGATATTTGTGACCCGCTCTGAAAAAAAGTTTCCAATGAGGCATGATTTTACCACACAAGTACTGACATTTCGCTCGAGTCAAAACATGTTCAGATTTTTGCAAACATGCAGCATGGATATTTGTGACCCACTCAGCAAAAAAGGGGATTAAGTCGCGCAATGCCAAAACACGCAATGGCCTGTTCTATTGGGAGAGGGCAAAATTTCTTCAAAAATGTGATTTCGTGATTTTTCCTTGAACAGCTTCTCTAATATTCATATTTTCAGAATTTGCGACTACAAACATGAATACCGATGAACAAAGTTGAAAAACTGATCCGTCAGTAGGAAATCCCATATGGCATTGTGTTTCCAAGTGTTACACATCATGAGCTTTTCTTGAAAAGTGCTTTTATTGAATCCGAAAATGTGGATATACAAATGTTTCAATATCTCCGGAACGCAGTGCTCTACGGGGTCATTCATATATCAAATTGTAGCTTTTGATGTACAGAATCCCGCCATATCAACAACCTCCTAACCTGAATCTGGCGACTTATTACCTATTTTTTTCTAGATTTTGATCTGGCCTTAGAATGTTGTGTTCACATTCACTTCCCCATCAAGTACAGAATGGCCTTTTTAAAAATAATTCAATAAATTTCCGTGCAGGGGGGCTAAATTTATGGGAGGTGAGCAAAGACATTCCAACAGACCTGGGCTTCTTTGCTAATTTCCACTTCAACTTCCGACTCGCTGTCGTCACTGCTGCTGTCGTTCAGCGCCAGGATCCTCATCTACAATTGCAAACCAATTGGAAAAAGTGGGAAATAAGATAAACAGAGATTAACATGGAGGTTTAGCGTCTTAGTACAGTGAACTAATTCGGTATTTAAGAAAAGCAAAGTCTTTCGAGAACAAAGCGCGTGTACAAGGCTTGGTATGGCCACGCCGACAGGGGAGACCTTACGAACCAGCGCTGTACGGTGTGACCAAAATAGTCACATTTGTGCCTAAAAATGATGACATGCCACCAAATGTCGAATTCTTATCACCAATGGTGACGGTGCTTTGTGCGTGTTAGCTGCTCACCATGTCAGTCATATTTCACAAACGATCGCTGCCCAGTTTTCTTCTGCATGTGTGATGCGATGTGTCTCCATGATCACGGTTTTTTTTTTCCATCCTACTATGCACACAGCATGAACCCACGTTAAACGGCAACGTAGCTTGCATGTAGGTACATGCACACACACACATGCACACAGGTAGTAGGCACACGAGTCGACTGGTTTGTGGTAGCACGCTGCATAGAGTGTGCATGGGGAGCTGAGATGTTTTTTGCGTATTCATCAGATGCACCAGCAGTCTATGCACGCCACGACTCTAGTGCAATAAACTTGTTTCAGTCCCAAATGTAAGGTTTCAAACCAAAAGGTTTCAAGCTTCCCTTGGTCCCCTCCGGTCTCAGGTACGAAAGACTGAAACGTAAGAGAACAAGCGTGCCTTGTCTTTTCTTTCAGCGGTTTTTTTTTTTTTTTCAAATAATTGGTTGCCGGTTTTTATCTATTCCATAGTACAAAACCCAAAGCCTGTCTGTCCTGCGGATAATTGACGGAAAAATGTTTCTGTGTGTTTTGTCAGATTTTGTACGTGTAACCTGCGTATTTTGCAAATGTGTGTACAGTATGTACGAAAGTTGACCCGGCGCCTAACTTTTGTTTTTTCTAGGAGCCAGTGGTTCCTCATTTGACCCCCAAGGTGCTTCAAAGCAGCATGCTCTATTGGAACACAACATGGTCACTCTGTGCCAAACATAGGCCGTGTCTGAAACGGGCTTCCAGAGCTACGGCTAGGTCTATTGTCTACACGTCTCCATGCATTTCCAATCGAGTGAAGACCTAGACCTAGCTCTAGACAAGAGATTCGGATGAAGCCATAGTCTGTATCTGAATGTTTCATGGGCCACTGGCTTAAGACTATGGAACTCATTGGCTTACGGCTGTGGCCACTTCCCATTGGCCCTCATGTTACTGTTAGCCACAGCCAATTGATTTGGAGTCAGGATGCTCCTGAGGTCATAAAACAAGCGTCTGCATAGTACAGGTATGGATCTTAAAATACATCATTTTGAACAGAAGTACCTTTCCAAAGCTTTCTTTCTCCGGCTCGTCGTTAAACCGGCCAGGCGCGCCCTCTTGATGTGCCTGCAACCTCTGACTTGCATTTCCCAAGAGTCGGTCCCTCATGGCTTTCTTGGCTCGTTGGTGGGCAGAGACCCCCGGGGAACTCGTCATTGGATTCCCTTCCATCGTAGCCCGCTTGCTCCCTGACGACAGACGCCGCCGGAATCCGCTGGTGCCTTCCTCGCCCAGCTCCACCGTGCATCGCTGGCCGAGCTGGGATGCGTCGCTGCGAGGTGCCCCTTCCCTGCGCTGGGCAATGTCTCTGTAACTTTGCTCTCCGTCAGACCCCTTGGTGGCGATCCTCGACGGGAGAGGTTGCCGCAGTTCTGTGGTGTCTCGAAATGTAGGCTCGTTCACGTGGCTGTCTGGAGTTGATCTTGGTGTCAGAGCGGGGAGCTTCCCGGACATCAGCAGCAGGCGTTTCTTTAAGACGTCGGCAACGTCCTCTGGTCTTGCACCATCTCCGCCAATGTTCTCCTCGTCTCTAACCTCCTGGGAATATTTCTTCTTGATGAGTCTGGGCATGGTGCCTCAAATGCCTGCTGTCCACCAACACTGGGAAGAGCATAGGATTCCAGTCCTTGATAAATGCTTCAGATGTGAAATGAAAGGCTTTTGTGGCATTCATCCAGTCCCCTATATGAAAAATGGCAGCATAAAAAAACATCACCACGGACCACACATGTACATGAATATTTACATCAGGAAAACAAGAAAAAGAGGGCTGCATTACGATTGGTCAAGCTGGCTTGCTGCTGACTACAATGAGAGAGTACATGTTGTCGATCTTCAGTGGTGTGGATGGGCAAAATACTGAATTTTACATACATTTTATTGAGATATTGACCCCTTGACGATGGGAACTTTTTTCTGAAAGCCGACTCCGAGAATTCCAGCCTCGCTTGGCCCCGAAGGCCACCTGCCAAACCACAAATTCTCGGTTTGTGGTCCTGTGTGCTCTGCACGCTTTGAATTACACAGTGAAAAGGCTGATTGTTCAGTGGCATGTGGCTCTACTCACCCTTCCACATTCCTGTTGCCTCTTTTCAAAGTGGGGACTATTGTGAAGCTGGTGATTATGATGCAAATTCGGTCTTTTCATTTCTTGGCAACACACAAAGACCAATTACCATATGTACAAGAGCCAGGGTATGCCTTCTTTCACCGTGTTCGCTCGAGTGTGGGCAAGAATAAAAGCTGAAAAGCGGGCTGACGATGTCAATTTGTAAGGCGGCTCTTACCGTCATCCGACGTGAAGGAGTTAAACCTCTCCAGCAGACACTTAACTGCATCAAGAATGGATGACAGAAATCTTGTTGCAAAATATTTGTGATGGCAGAGTAAGTTGGCATAGGCCTAAATGAAATAGCTGAAACTTTACCATAGCCAGAACTGTAGCGAGTCATTATTATATCTAACTCTATGAGCGAGTCACTAATTTTAGTGAGTCAAGTTGAGTCAAGTCATTGCAACACAGTGACTTGAGTCATCAGGCAGAAACATCGAATTGAGTCGGGTCAAGTATTTAGCTCAAGTCAATAAGCCTTTTTCACGTGTCATGTGCACAAGCTCAGACAACTTAACAGAGGGGAACAAATTCATGACACTAACGTTGCATAACATTTGGCGAATGGATGCTCACGATTGTCATTATTAACTTGTAAACAATTTGTTCCCCTCTAGCTTTGTTCACTTAGGTCTATTCCCCCGGGGGTGCTAAAATCAACATGGTGACAGTACAGGAAATTGGCTTATTTGAGTCACCAATATTTGAACACAAAACTGTAAATTATAAAATTAGGAGAGAAAAATCATTTTGGGCAATTTTCACATTTAGGCCTACATGCAGGTCCTACCTCTGAGTCTGAATTTCCACAGGTTCACATCACATCTTTGATTTCTCTTGATGAAAGTAGCACGAAGCGCTGTTTTTGTTTTTCAAAATGGCACTACCCCCGGTCACTATATACAATGTACATATCACTGGCTGGGTTTTCAAGGCACCATATATCAGAAAATATACGGTTAGGGAAAGCTTTAGGGTGTTCTTATATGGTCCAAACTCTGAGGAATATTCCATTTAGAGTAAAATTGTCGACTAATTCTCATTTTGGAAGATATTGGGATTCAAAGTTTTCACCAATCCTGCAGGTTGGATTTCAGGCATTTAAGACATGCCTTAAAGTAGGGCAGTGGTGGCGACAAAAAAGAACAGATTGTAAAAGAGAGCCACCGCAGCCTTACGTGTGGGGTTGGACATACATGAACATAATAAACATTATAAACAAGCATTGTGTAAGTCTGCATGGTCATTGCAAACAATTCTTTTTGGAAAGACTTTTTTTCTGGACTCGAATCTTATGACGTACATATAGGCCTAACGTTAGGCCTAACTTTCACCCAAGTCAGGTCTTGTGATGAGGGACTTGAGTTCCTTGCTCGTCACTTCTGCCATGGTTGAGTTTATTTTCATGATTTTTAGAAAATCGTTCCCATCCTTCTGATTGGAAACTGTGAGACCCATTTACCTCTTCATTTCCATTTAGAGCCGCAGGTTTCGGACAGAACACACACTACTCATGACGATGATGACCTGCTAGAGCTATACAACAAAGCAGCACAGTGCAAGTTAAAGCTGGTGGTAGCACTCATCAGCATGGACAATGGAGCGCGCCATCTTGAACAAATATTCATCAGTTCACCTGAGGAGGGCGCCCTGCAGTACCTCTGTCATGTCAGTCTCTGGCCCCTGGCGTCGCATGCATGCCGCACATGACGATGCTATCCTACTTAGTGTTCTTTTTTTTCTACATGAGTAGTTCTTTTTCTGTTTCATACCAAATCGTCTGGGCTACTTCACTTTTCTTTTTTCAGTCTCTTTTTTCACCAGGTGACATCCATTGCGTTTTATTCGTATTTTTTTGAGGCTCCTCGCAGACCTATGTGTTTGCGTTGAATGCTTTGGCGAAAGCATTTCTATGCATTTTTGTCGAGGCCAAGTAGGAATTTTGCTGCAGCATCAGGTCGCAGGCCAGTAAATAGGTCCAAAATTGCCTGCGCGGACGTACCAAATCACGATTTGAAGGCTGTTCAAATTCTCTGCTTTTAAAGCCTTTCGTGGCACGTGGACTGGGCGGTTTGTTAAAAAGGTGGATGAAATGCGGGGGCAGGACTGTCAGCTTGTATTTCTGAAAGTATCGGACCAATCGGAGCCCTCCAAATTGCTCTATTTTGCCATGATGATGGAGTGTAGGCACCAATTCCCAAAATGGCGATGGGCCTCCTGATTGTTTTTATGGATGATTTTCTCTGGACAGAAATATCTTCAAAAGTCAGTGGTTGAACCACTGAAAAGTGAAAGCAAAATGAAAGAAACCTGTGAAACTTGTGAGAATGATTTTTTGAAGTGGGGATATTTATCACAGTTGCCTATGGCATTTGATTTAATGGTCTAGTCTGCACCTATCACCCTGTGGCCGCGCGACCGACCCGGTGCCCCGGCTCGCTGATGACGCAGCCAAAACTTTGGGCCCATGATCATTGGGCGGGGCCGGGGGAAGCGGGTGCCATTCAAAAAGCGATGGGTGCGGCCTCAGACAAAACAATACCAACGAGTGATAGCGCCACCTAACTCTTGATCCCAGTCAGGGATATCCCAGTCAGGGATTTTGATTATTTTTAGGCCGGTGAAAAAAATTCTTTTAGATTTAAAGTATTTCCTTTTAAACGGCAAATATACCACCGGTTTGTTTCTCTAAACAAATTATTGAATGATCTGGGAGTTCATTACAAGGCCACTATCAATAATTGATAGGGATAAGTGGGAGGCACCTGTTAATTTCCAAGCCCAAGCGGGCGTTTAAAAACGCCTAGTTGAATTGCAAGGCCGCATTCATGTTGGGCATTTTGTGGCTACAACTTTGACTTATTTTCCCTGCCCCATATTAGTGAGTAACCGTAGCCGTAGACAACAATGGTCACTAGGGACAGTCTTTCTTGCGGTTTGTGCGCTGCTTCGAGTACGCATATGCTCACGTTTCGCGGCACGCTGGATGGTGGTTAGTCATGACAAAAATATTCATTCTGTCACTTTAGAGCAGGGATTTTGAAAATCGGAGTGGTGTGAGCTGTTGTTGCGTTGGCTAGATCGTGTCCAAAACAGAGGGTAAGAAAAGTTTATTTTGCTTCTACATTCATTAAAATAATTACCGGTATTTTGTACAGTATGACTAGGCCGCGCGCCCTAACCTTAATAATGTACACGTTCTACACACGTGTAATTTGTATTCATTTGACATGTTTGTCAAAATTTACGGTTGGTTGCCGATAAACGCAGTTGTCACTTTATGCTGAAATCATTTGGAATTGTCGAAAATCTTTCAGCATGTACATGTAGGGTTGGAAATTATTATTGTTATTTTGTAGGGTTTAAATAATTTAATGAACCACAATTATTGGTTGCTCTAGGCCTACCGGTAAAGTAATATTTACCAGTAAAAATTTCCTTGAACCAATGTTATTCTTTGCAAAGTAATTTTTTCCTGACCTCCATCATATCCATGCTTGTAAGTTGTAGTAACTAAACAGTTTTGAAGTTTTCCCAAACAAATTAATTAATGATGGGTCACATTTAATTTTGTAATTGAAAAATACTTTTCATCCTAATTGTTTATGAATAGAGTAAAAACCCTTGTGATGTGTGGAGAACCAGTGGGACGTGAGCCATTGCAAAGAGTAAATTTGTTCCACTCTGTTTGATTTCACTGTCCAGTGGGCAACTCGGGCCGAGGTACACCTGTCATGCTTGATTGGTGGAGTTTTGGTTACAACATACATGTACCTGTAACATTATGCCATTCAGAATGATTTCACAGAAAGAGTTCCATACAAGCTTACCACTTGACACCCTGTAAACAAGCCTGGAGAGTTTGGTCTGAAAAACTCTTAATTTTCTTAGTAAACACTTTAATATTTTCCTTGCTAAACTTGACAATTTAGGACTTATCACTTTCTGATGGCTGATGTCACTGCAAGCAAAAATGATATGATGTCTGTGTATGGAACTCTTACTGGTTTGATTATTGCACTCTTCTGGGAATTGGATCGCTCTACACTCGTGATAATATACTGTTGCTGAAACCCCAGTCTGAGTAGCTTTGACCGTACTAATTGCCGTTTTTAACATCAGAACATGAATGATCTATTGCCAGATTATCACGTCTTTCTGATAAAAAAAGGTAATATTAACCCTACATGTGTTTACTAAATCTTTCCTTGGTGTTATTTTTCTTTCCCTCTCATCACTTCTGCATCCCATCGTTACCGTCCCAGGAAGTCGTGGGATTAAGTTTCAAATGACATCCACGATGAAACGACCGAGTAAAATGATGTTCAAAATGTATTTATTCCTCCGAACTAAAGAGGTGTTGACATCGACCTGACAGATTTGTCCCTTGTCAGTCATTAGCAGTGGACAAAACTGGCTGCAGAGTAGTGTCAACAGTTTGTTGGTTCTGTTCAACCAGTTTATTTTCTCAACAAACAGGATGAATCTGTTCAGATAAAATGAAGTATTGTTAATGGTGCATATGAAACCACTGGTGATTTTTCTCATTATCTGCAGCCTTCTACAATGTACCTTGAACGTACGGCATGTGATACGTACAATGTAGCCTCATTGTCATAAAACTGTACATGTACATGTACCAACATGAACATGCATACATGTACATTAGCCCTAACCTTCCCCAACCACACAGAATTGAACACCAGTAAAGTGAGTGAATTTGTGGCACTGGGTACTGTACCCCTAAACTGCTTGTGCTTTAACATGGGTTCGGGCATACCCAAAATAAACAGAGTCCAACAGCTTTTGTGCACAGTTTACCATATGGTGTTGGAATTTGTATGAATGGGTATGGTTCCTGGTAAATCACTCTGGGGAGTTAGGGTTAAAAAGGGCGGTATACCAGGAATTTTCAGAGGAAGGCCGTATCCTGATCTGAATGCTACTGGTTCAATTCTATCCAGATTTCCTGACATGTTTCCTCTTTCGTCACAATTGTCCTAATTCATATTTAAAAAGAAATCCGATCTCGATTCACCGTGATTGGGTGAAACTCCTTCAGTTTCCAACTATGGAGAGTTTATGGGATTAGACAAATCACAGGGGTATGACCAGTCGACCATATGCGGTGCAATTGCGGCTAGTCCAGAAATCTTATATCGGGGAATATTCTTCAAAACATTTGACTTGCACCAGTCTGGTCTGGGTTTTTTTTTTGCGTTTAATTGGAACCGCTATGACCCTTTTACCGGGCGCAAAAGGGTTGAAGAAAATTTACCTCAAGACAGTTGAGAGCTCAGACTTGGCTGCGAAAAAGGATGAGGTCTCTGTGTTTTTTTCATCAGAAAAACTTTGAAAGAGATTTATCTGCTAAAGCGTGGTCCCACTCGGAGCCCCAGGCCCTTGTCTTGCACAAGACCTTTAATGAGGCCGGCAGAACAATGTCCCATGTGTACCATGTACGTGCGCATAAATTTCATGTGCACATAACCCCACACACAAACATGTACATGTACACATATGTTGTACACGTCCTTTATACCATGAGTGAGGGGGGAACCTTGAGTGAGTCATTCATTGTGTACACAATGCTCGCTGCATTCAGTGAGCCCTTCGTCTGTGAAATGGATGTATTTTACGGACATGTACATTTATGCAGGATTTACATACATACGTGTACATGTATTCACGAGGCATAATGGTACCTGCAGCTCTGGGTCAACAATTCCACCAATGCTAACCTTACCTTCCATAGGTCACCCTAAATCTACTGGGAGTTTTGAAGAGGTTAGAGGAAGGTACGAGAGCCAGTATGGGCTTGATGCCCTGAAAGTACATGTGGGGTAGAGTGAGCCATTGGGGGTCTGCCACAAGGGTGGGAGAAAACCAAGGAGGGTTCAAGGAGATCCCTGGTAAAACTGCCTTAAAGGTTGGGGCACGGTGAGGGTGCCTCAGCTCTGAATCACACCAGACACCTCAAACCTTCATACATGTATAGCATGGCAGTGTTTGTTTCACACGGATCTGGATCATGATTAGCGATCTGTCGTTGGATTACAGACACCAAAACCCACACAGTGGATGGTGGAAACCAGCATTAGGATCATCATGCAAGTCCATATATCCCTTCCTGTGAAACAAATAGGCCCCTAGTAGACATGTAACTTGTAGCCCACATTTGTACGTGTGTGGGGTACAGGCTTCAGGGGACAGGGCACTGTGTTGCATCTTTGTTCCATTAAATTTTATTGGACTAATCACACAATTTAATCACCGAGGACAGCTCTCAATGAAAGATAAACCCTCAGAACAGCAAACTACCGGCTTCTGTTCCCATGGAACTCTTTTTTCTTTTGAGTTCAAATACAATCTGAAACTTAAAGAGGAAAATTGTGAGAGAGAAACTATTTTCCAAGGTCGTTTTTTTCACGTTCAAATATAATCTGAAATTTACAGAGGAAAATTGCAAGAAAGAAAATGCTTGTATTTCCCAAGATCATTTTTCCAGTTAAGCAATTCAACAAAACTGACAAATATTTTGATTCAGATAAGTTCGGTCCGTTGGATGACTCAACATCCATGGATTTGTCCTTGGGAAGTATAATTTTTTTCAGA